CCCCCCCCCCCCCCCCCACACTCCCAACAGCCTGTCCTCTCTGCCAGGTGGGAGGGAGAGCAGTGGACTGTGTGATGCTGGGGGTCTGAGACACCCCCTGCAGCGCTGTAACTATGTACACGTTACACACAGTGCCACAAAACACAGGGCTACTATGAAATTCCTCTTTGAAAAAGAGACGTTGTAGTGGTAGGTCCACCATTTCTGTGGCAATGCAGATGGCTTGCATGTGTGCTTTTTGTAGTCCTACAAATATAATGTGCATGTCCAAGGCCCTGACTAGGCCTTCGCAGTATTGCTAGATTGGTGACATGCACATTCAGAACAACTGTTACTGGACCACGTACCCCGGAGACTAGAGTTTCAGACCAACAGCAAACAACATGTGGAGCATGTCTACGTGACAGTGGTGGCAGGATGCAGCGAGGATGGAGCTTAGCACGCCCATCTGCAGCCACACTCCAAACCCAAAAGCATGTTGATATGGCTGCTCTGGGCTCCTGATCTCAAGCCATTGGTTTCCAGTGGGACTGACAGAAGCCAATGGGGATGAGCCTGAAGCAGCCTCATCTCTGAGTTTCCATGTCTGGATTACATCAGTGGGCAGGTCATGCTTGGTCCCACTGGCACCAGGACCTGCTGTGGCCATGGTGCAGACCAGCCTCTAGATTCTGACTGACATGGAGTCACCACCACAAAACAGAGTAACATTTTACCTGCTTCTCAAGGAAGCTGTGATGGTCGCAAATGCTCTGCAGTTGAACAGTGTTATATAAATCACTATATTTTGTTAGCAAGAAACTTTGCAAATACCTTGTAGGTCCAAATTCTGCAGATACGAAGAATATTGCATTTTTCTAAGTGATCATGAAAGAAGCAGCAGATTTCTCTTGCTGGTAAAATGCAGGAGTTGGGATTCCCTGCTCTGCCATCAACCCTGATACTTGGGCAAGTGCTTGAACTTCTCCATGCCTCAGTTTACTCCAGGCTAACATGGTATGGGAGGTTTAATTAATTAATGTTTGCAAATCACTTTCAAGGGGCAAGGTATGATAGGAGTCAAAGCACTACCCTTTAAACCCTCCCTCCCCCGCCACTAAAAATACCTTATTTCTGTGATGATATCACAGGCAGAATTATTTTAGATCATTCTCCAAGTAGCAAATGCAAGGCATGACAGCTACTCAGATCAACTCCTGGGCTTCAAAAGCTTGCTACATGAGGGGTAATTGTTCATGTGCTTGGTCATTTTAACCAGGAGTTCAGTTCCACACCATTTTGCTTCGGCTGCCACAGGCTGCATTTTCTGTAGACGGGAGTTTTGAGAGTCACAATTGTTTAATCTTTCATGGATTTGTCAAATCTTCCTCTCAGCAGAAATTAAACCTACCCTCTTCTGAACCCGACCTGAAGGAAAATGCATTAGGGAATTTCCAGTGATCTCTTTACCAAAGGCTGGGCAGCCTGGAATGGATTCATCGATGCTGATTAATCACTGGGAGGCTGCAGAAGTCAGGGAAAAAGCTATGGAAGTACACGTAGCAAGACTGTGAGGACACAGCTGGGTACCAAGACCTTGATCCAACACTAAGTGAAGTCAAGTGAAGCATCCTACTGAACTTCAGCATTTTGGGATCACACTTTATAGGTGCCATGGTATTTCTCCTGGGAGCTACACATAAGGCATTTGGTTATTGTGTTGAATATCACTTGCTGAGAAGCAAAGAAATTGAAAATATGGTTTCAAGTAACAGGAAAAAAAAAAGAGCACAGAAATATCAATTATTTAAAAATAAGGCCTAAATTTCAACACTGATGCACTCTAGTGCAATGATTCTCAACCAGGATGCCAGGGCACCCAGGGGTGCCACTGGGTGCTGTGAGGCATGAGGAAGTAAGTGAGGAGCCATGAGACAAGCAGCTAAAAACTAGGCAGATAAGCACAGGCCCAGGCTGGTCTCTGCCACTCCCCTTGCCTGGCCCCTCTGCAATCTATAAATTAGTTTTGAAACTGGGTGCCTCTTAGCTCACAAGAGTTATAGAGGGGTGTCTCAAATCCAGTGAGGGGTGCCTCACGTCCAAAAGGTTGAGAACTACTGCCCTAGTGATTAAGATTGGGCATCCGAAAATGGGAACACCCAGAATCACCTTAAAGGTACATCCAACACTGCTCTACGAGTCCCCTTCTAATCTGTAAGTCTGCAGGCCTGGGCACTTGCAACGTGGGCACCATGGGTGGGGCTAATTTCTGACAGCGTGCCAGGTCTCTCTCATGATGAGGTAGTACAGACACAACCAAAGTGATTTGGCTTTCAGATGGATGGAGGCTAAGCAGTTTCTGGAAATGACACCCCTATAAGATACCTCCAAACTTTGTATCCAAAGGCTTAGATGCCCCTAAATTGCTAGTCACTTTTGAAAAATGCAGGCCTCACTCAAGTAGGAAATATCACCCTGCCTCAGATCTGGCAAAAATGCTGCAAGAATGTTCTATTCTTATTTTGTTTTTCATTCTTTTCCAAGTCATCTTGAAGAATAAAAAGGTTGAATAAAACCCCTACAGATTGTATCAAAGGAAAATTGAAATGGTGGTTTGGAAGAGGAGGGGGGTCTTCAATCACAAAAGGAGAAGAATTCCATGTGGACGCACAGCATGTAGCGCTGTGCAGTGATAAATTAAAGCACAAGCTGCACTTCGAGTAAAATACAACATATAAAACATTTCTGAGCATTACTTTCTCCCTTTCCACCCACGCGCCTTCCTTAACCAAATGGAAGAGCGATTCATCACTGAAAGGTTAGGGCCCTCCTGTCTGCGCCTGCACTGTTGGGTGTACTGATAAACTTAACATTTGACAAGCTAAATGATTTTTAAGGGGACCAATTATAGTCTGCTAAATTGAAATCTCCCTGTTAGTCCTTTCAGCTATTCCAACCAACTCTAAACAAGTGATTTCACAACCACTAAAGGGGTCTGAATAAGGGACAGAGTTAGGAATGCCAAGGCACTAGCCTGGTCTTGGGTATCTGAATTCCTCTGTGGTCTTGAGCAAATTAGTATTTAGCAAGACAAAGCACACACCCAACTTTAGGCATAGAAATAGTCCCATTAAAGTCAACAGAAATAGTCTGATGCTTCAAATCAAGCATATACTTATGTATCTTATTCAGATGGGGCCTTAATTAGGGCCAGTCAAAAGTTTTCCCATCCAAGCTGTTTTTGACAGAACAGTTAACTGATTTCTATGGAAGAACTGATGTTTTGACTTTTTTTTTTTTTTTTTTAAATGAAAGCTTTTTCATTTTTTGGCCAAGTCTAGATGTCTCTGCAACCCACCACACTTTGTTTTCAACAATAAAGGAAAAGATATGCTCATTTCACATGAACAGTGAACAGAATCTCACAATTGTATAGTCTACAAGAACGTTTGCAACGGGACTGGAAAACCCACTTAGCAAACCACTATGCTAAGTATTAGGTGCTGTGCATTTTATCATGCATATTCATAAGGGTTCAGGTGAGGTACAAGCCAAATACCACTAGGGAAAACACGCTCCTTTTGCATTTGGCTCCCTGCATGCTTCTAAAAATTGTATCAGCCAAGCCATATTTTTATGATTTTCAGAATCACTTCTACCACATCCACCAGTCCCTCTGAAATGGGGAGTTGCCTACTATATGGTAATAAATATAATGATGACCTTTCCCTTCTATAGAGTTTTTCATCAGATCATTTCATAGCACTTTACAAACATGGATATGAAACCTGACAACATCCCTGACATTAGTTATGTACTATTATTTTTGTATTATATAGAGGTAGAATGAGTGGGCATGGAGAGATTAACAGCTAATTACCAGAGATCCTGAGCCTTCGAAACTACATAGCTGGGAATGGGAGCTAGGAGTCCCAACTCCCAGTACCCTGCTGTAGCCTTTATTCTCAAATACCAGGTAGTTTCTAGTTGACAGGTCATTATGGAAGCACTGTCTTTAAACAGAGGATTCTGAAATTACAAGCATCACCCAGTGTAACCCATCTGAGATACTCGGCCACAACACAGGAGTGCACAGCTGCAGGAGGCAAATCAGCAATAACTCTCATTCTGGCATTGAACTAAGCAAGGGGGGGGGGTCATAATCCATTAGACTGTGAGCATGCAAAGAGGACAACAAAAATGGTGCACTGAAAAAGGGTCTTAACCTTTGTGAGGGAGAGGAGAGAGAGGAAACACGCAGATATGAAGGAGTGGTACAGACAGGGGAAAGGAGAGAGGAATAAGAAAAAGTGTTTGACCTGGCAACTTGCTTTAGCCCTTGATAAGCCAAGCCGAGCTCTCCATCTTCATTGAGATAACCCCAGTCCTCAGTCTTGCTAGAAATAAAGGACAGAAAAAGGAAACAAGTGGACAGGAAAGGCAAAGGTCAATTGCAACAGAAAAGGAAACTCAGGCAGACCTTCAGAAAGAACAAACATTTGTTAAACTGCATCTCCTTTCCCATCAGGCTGAATTCTGTGTTGGAGAATGAATGACATGGTCAAAAATCCTTATTCTGCCCCATGATACTACAGTGAAGGACCTCCCTCTAGTCACCCATCACAGGCACCGGGTACATGGGGGCAGTGGTGGCACAGCTGGCACAGAGCTCCTGGGGGCAGGACAGCAAAGCGGGGAGGCCCGCAGCCCGCATCTGCCCCCACCCCTCCCACAGGCTCTGCTCAGGTCTGATCCGGCTGTGCTACTGGCGCAGGGGCATCTAAGGCCCACCCCTGGCAACAATAAAAGTTGGCACCTATGCTCCTCCTCCTCTGTACTTCTGCAGTTCCTCTCCCTAGAGCAACGCTTCTCAACCAGGCTGCCCCCACACCCTGAGATTCTCCATGGTGTGCACACACACAAGTCACAAGACAAACCCACAGATTTCAAATAGGAATCCATTCCGACTTGTTTGGGGCTTTCTGTTTCTGAGACAGAATTGCAGCCTATTAGATTTCTGTAGTCACAACTGAGTGAAAGCAAAGAGCTGGCATTTTCCAAGGGGTGCCTTGAGTCTGAAAAGGTCAAGGATCATTGCCTTAGAAGATCCAGAATTTGCCCACTTCTGCCATTTCAGCATGAATCTTGTGGTACTGAAAGCTCCAGTTCCCAGGAACAAGAATCTTCACTTTCATTTTTTTACACAGAAGTGCTCAGCCCTGAAGGTTGTAGAGAAAAGGAAAACTTGAGAACTTGAATCAAATGAACTCAAAAGGCTCACAGATCAGAAGGCAAAAGGGCAAGAAACCCAAATTATCTATTAAAAACTGATGGTTTGGGGGAGCAGGACAATTTTTTATATACTATTTGGGATGGACAATATTGTGATCTCATGCTTTACTAAGGTAGGAAAGTGACAGCTCCACAGATACAAGTGACCGAATTAAGGTACCAAAAAACCTCAAATAAACAAAAAAAATCCACCACCGCCAACTTGCTGGAGGTCACAGCTTGAATCACTGGCAAAACTAAGAAGAAAGTCTCTTGGCTCATGACCCTGGGCTCTACCCATGAAACATATTGCCTTCAGAGTAGCCAAGTCTGATGTCATCAATGCTGGCTTGAGACACTCGTTGTATGACCCAGACGGGTGGAAAGTATAAAAAACTAGTGTCATACAGAATTCCTAGAAAGTGAGAAAAATGCAGTTTGCCAAAAGGGGAGATATTTCTGACCTGCATTGAGTGGCTCTTTTATACAATAATGGGCTTGATTCCTTTTGGGGATATGCATGGACATTACAGATCTAGAAAGGTATTTCAACAGTGGAATGACAGAGGAGGCAAGAGTTGGGAGTGACAGAATAAGGGAAAGCCGTCTCCGTCAGCTGAGACGCTATATAGTATTCCTGCAGTCAGTGATACTGCCCTGTGCAGGGAAGCCTAAAGCAGCAACATATGGGGGATGCAGGTGAGAAAGGTCATTTGTAATGATTGCACATGTACCAAGAGGAAAATACGGAAGGAGTGGGGAAGATAGCTGTGGTTTACTGCTAAGCTTCTTTTACCACTGTGAGCACCAGCTAGCATGGAAGCATATATATGAGAGACTTGGTGTCTTCTGGTACACAGTATCATATTTTCTTGGATGCAATATGCCCAGAAATAATACAGACCTTGGTTTTGAAAGGCAAAAGAAGAAAAGAGATGTTTCCAGAGTTGCAGATGCACAGAGCAGGGATGGAGCCTAATCTTTAACTGACCCACCCTCCCTTTCCTGCTTAAGTAAAGTTGAAACCATAGCTGCCCCTAAAGACCAGTCTCCCATGGCTGGATTTATGATTTTGAAAAAAGAGCTAAAGAGTCTCCAAGGATGACAAATAGGAGAGAAACCAGAGCAGCTAGCAGGTATCAAAAAAATGCCTTAAGAAAGATTAGCTTGCTTAAAGAGGAGTGGCTATCATTAACAGGTGCTTGTACATGCGATGAAAGTTGGCCATTTTTGTGGTTTAATTGCATCACACTGTACACGTGCGGGGGTTTATTATTTGAATGAGTTTGCTACATTGCGAACTAAACCACATTCACATGTAATTTAGTTTGCAGCATAGCTATCTGTAACATTGCAGCCCCCCCTCTCGCCACAGGAGAGGCAAACTGAAGGCAGAAGCAGTGAGGGGCCCGATCCCCCCCCCATGGAACCTGCCCAAGTCTCCTTTTTTCTGCCCAGGGGCAAGCTGCCAGTGGGCTAACTGGCCCCTGAACTGCAGGGGACCCTGGTCCTTCCTTCTGTGGTGGCAGCACCTCTGGGGCTGCCCCACCTTGGGCTCAGGGAACAGCTGGATTGGGCTGGGTGTTGCCTGCAAGCTGGGGCAGCACCCACCTGCTAGCCATCCACCCAGGTGACCCCGGGGTACACCACTGCCATGGAGGGAAGGTCCAGGGCCCTCTAAAGGCAGCTTGCCCCAACCCCCCGGGGCTGTGGGAGAGGCAGGCAGGCTGTGCAGGGGGAGGATCAGACCCCTCACTGCTTTTTTTTCCACCCCCCTCAGCGGAGCCTGTCGACATGAGCTGCCGCCAGGCCACACAGCCCCTGAGCTGCAAGGGGGCCCAGTCCTTCCCTCCGTGTCAGTGGCAAGGCTGCCCAGGTGCAGTCCCAGCTATGTGGGTGCTGCCCCAGCTTGCAGGCAGCACCTGCTGGATCCAACTCTTCCCTGAGCCTGGATGCTGGAAGCCCGCTGGGTGCTGCGCCCCATGCGGGCTCGGGGAAGAGCTGGATCTCGCGGGTGCTGCCTGTGACCTGGGGCAGCATCCATGCAGCTAGGACCCCACCGCCATAGAGGGAAGGACCAGGTCCCCACAGCTCAAAAGGCTATACGGTCTGGCGGCAGCTCATATAGACAGTCTCCGCTGAGGGGGAAAAAAAAGCAAAAAGCAGCAAGGGGCCTGATCCTTCCTGCAGCCCCCCAGGAGTCTGCCTGCCTCTCCCATGGCTAGGGGGCAAGCTGCTGGCAGGCCCTGAGCTGTGGGGAGCCCCAGACCTTCCCTTCATGGTGGCAGCACCCCCTGGGCAGCACCCACCCACTGGCAGCTCACCCAGGCATCCCTGGGGGGTGCTACTGCCACAGAGGGAGGGACCAGGGCACCCCCCCCAGCTCAGGGGCCACGCAGCCCACTGGCAACTCACCCCCCTGGCTGTGGGAGACACAGGCAGACTCTGCAGGGGGAGAGAAAAGAAAAAAAGAAAAAAGGATCTAGCCCTTCACTGTAACAGTGACAAAAGCCCCTAAATTGAAATGGTAGGATTTTAATCACTGCAATTAAAAACCACTGTTTCATTTTAGGGGACTAAACCCCCGTCACGTATACAAGTGGCCAACATCTCTGGGGCAAGAACAGAGAGCTGTTAAAGTCAACCCTCTGCTGCTAGAAAAGAAATGCAACAGCTGCTGCATCATGGACTCAAAGCTGGATACTTCTACCCTGGGCAGAAAAAAAATCAGCTTTCCCACTTAATGCATGCACCCCAAATTTAGGGGGGTGATTTCGGTAGAAAGGTGCCTGTTGAATGTGAAAACAATACAGTACCTAGTTGGCTGTGTGACATAGGCATCCACTTATCTTTCCTACACCTCAATTTTTTCAGCTCTGACATGGGAAGGGAGAGTAATTACCCATCTCTGCAAACTGCTGAGATCTTCAGATAAAAACTTGCTTATAGGAGAGGAAATTGCTATTTCAGGGAAACACAATTCCACTTAGGTTGTGAACTGCCCTGCTAGAACTCAGCGCCATGCCTTCGAAACCAACTTCTTTTTACAACTACCGTCAGACATCAGCTTACTGTGTCGTGACCAAGGGAACATCCTAAGGCCAGGTCCCTACAGAAAAGGTTTCCCAGGGCACCTATGCTGACACTGCAGCATATACCTGGAAAAAAAAATAAAACAAAAAACAAAGACTGCTCTTGGTTAGACAAGTCCCCCAAAGGAAATATGCTTTATGGGGAAATGCATCTTGATATAACTTTGTATTTGGTTTTTCTGTTAGTACAGCTATGTATATGGCTCTTGGTTCTTTTCCAGACATGCCGCCTCTCCTAGAAAACTTTATGCATACACGAGGCTCCAGTCCTCTCTCTACCTAACCAAACTCTTGACATAAGATTTCTCATTTAAGTGTAAAGAGCGTGTGAAACAGGCTGTATTCAGTTCTGATTCAGCCTGAATCGGGGACAGAGATTCGATTAGTTGGTTCAGATCACTGTCCACGATTTGATTCAGCCAAATCCAAATCTGAAGATTTGATGCCGATTCAGAGAATCAGTAATTCAGCCACAGACACAGCTTTAAATGTTTTTTCTACATACCTCGAGGTACCAGCACGGCTCGTGAACACTGCGATGCTGGGGCAGATGAAGCACCCCATGGGAACACAGGAGGGCCCCCTGTGTACTTCTGGTCCACTTCTGGGTTCACTGGGGAGCTTCCCTGCACCCCCCTTCCCAGCTTGGCAATTGGCCATGGGGGAACCCTGGGTGTGCCCCCCCAGACCCAGGAGGCACCAGTCACTGAGCCAGAGGGGTCCCCACAAAGCGCTCCCCAGCAGACTCAGAAGTGGACTGCCAGAGCTTTTGGTCCACTTCTGGGTCTGCTGCCGAACACAATGGGGAGTCCCCCGCGCTCCTGTGGGATGCTCCACCCGCCCCAGCATTTACGAGCCACTTGGTACCTTGAGGTATGCAGAAACAACAATGTTTAGAGCTGTGTCTGGGTCCGCATCTCTAAATCGTTCCAAATCAATTTGGAGAGTTTTGATTCAATTCAGGGAGATTAAAGGGTCTCGTAATTCAATTCAGATTTTAAG